GTCCCCCTCTGATACAACTGGAGGGACTCCATCATTAGTCCCCCTCTGATACAACTGGAGGGACTCCATCATTAGTCCCCCTCTGATACAACTGGAGGGACTCCATCATTAGTCCCCCTCTGATACAACTGGAGGGACTCCATCATTAGTCCCCCTCTGATACAACTGGAGGGACTCCATCATTAGTCCCCCTCTGATACAACTGGAGGGACTCCATCATTAGTCCCCCTCTGATACAACTGGAGGGACTCCATCATTAGTCCCCCTCTGATACAACTGGAGGGACTCCATCCCTCCATGTGTCAATATGTTTTAGACATATCTTATATAGTCTGTTACCGACAATTGCTTACTTTCATATGTGAAAACTTGGGATGATAGTATGTTGCATTCTAAAATCTGGTTTCATGCCCCACTATATACAAGAGTTATGGCCCTTTATTAAATTGTACCTAAGTTTGCTTGGAGGTTGGTGATTCAGCTTGCTTGTAATACTTCGCCTCGTTTATCTTTGTATGAATGCCTCGTTTATCTTTGTATGAATGCCTCGTTTATCTTTGTATGAACTAGCTTAGTCATTGTCTTCTTCTTTTATGTAAAGTGCATTAAATTCTTTGGAGTATATTGTCAAACTGTTTGTGCAATAGAAGGAGGAAAAAATCTACTCATGATGGCCCATTTACAATTATAACAAATAAAAACTTGTCTGACAGTCTACTAGAAAGTGGCTGTCAGATGGACCTGACTGATGCTGTTTGATGACACAACTGACCATAGCAGTTTCTGTGTCCTCTCACTGCAGAGGCATTGGGATTTTCGCTTTCTAAATGTATTGGACGCATTGGTTGTGATGTCTTCTGGTCCATGAATTTTATTGCTGCAATTGTTTCTAAATAAGCAAATGTTCTGATGTCCTTGACCTTGACCTCTGTCTGTAACCTTGGTTTATTTCTAAAATGTCAGAGCGGTGCATTCATTTCTTTGATACACATTTCTAGTTACCCCAGGAATGATGGTGACTTCTGAAAGGCTCAGCAGGTTCAGGAAAAGAATGGGCCTGCTATTTCCCACTACATGATTGTAAGAGTCGACTAATGTTGCCCCCCCCCCCCCCCCCCCCCTCCTGCAGAATTGGTGGTTGGTTTCTTCCTTGTCTTCTATTTAGGGGACATTGAAGCAACTAAGAATAGACCTGTTGCCCCTGATGAATCAGAGATTTTCGTCAATGTCTGTTACTAGGAAGACATGGAAGGGACCAAAATCGAGCTGCTGCCCCCATTGCAACACTTTTCGTCTACAATTGGTTTTTCATTTCCTATCTCTCCTGTCTACTTCCTTTACGGTCTGTCCCTTTAATTTGTCTCTTAGGCACCCATCCCCATATGACCCTGGCTGTTGTGTCTCCCTAGGCACCCGCCCCCATATAACCCTGGCTGTTGTGGCTCCCTAGGCACCCCTCCTCATATGACCCTGGCTTTTGTGTCTCCCTAGGAACCCGACCCCCTATGACCCTGGCTGTTGTCTCTCCCTAGGCACCCGCCCCCATATGACCCTGCCTGTTGTGTCTACCTAGACACCCGTCCTCATATGGCCCTGGCTTTTGTGTCTCCCTAGGCACACGTCCCCATATGACCCGGGCTGTTGTGTCTACCTAGGCACGCGTCCCCATATGACCCGGGCTGTTGTGTCTACCTAGGCACCCATCCCCATATGACCCTGGCCGTTGTGTCTCCCTAGGCACCCGTCCCCATATGACCCTGGCTGTTGTGTCTCCCTAGGCACCCGTCCTCATATGACCCTGGCTGTTGTGTCTCCCTAGGCACCCCTCCCCATATTACCCTGGCTGTTGTGTCTACCTAGGCTCCCGTCCTCATATGACCCTGGCTGTTGTGTCTACCAAGGCACCCCTCCCCATATGACCCTGGCTGCTGTGTCTAACTAGGCACCCGTCCTCATATGACCCTGGCTGTTGCGAGGACGTTAAACCCCAAACAATCACAAACCTAAACTCGCACACGGGCAAGTGATAACTGCTTCTAGGGCTAACATGAAATAAACAATTAACAACTTAACCACTAAGACCTGCTTTTTGTTTTTCTTATGTATAAAGGTTTGACACTAGTAAAGCAACACTGTGAGTGGAACTTAGACAAGTATAGTGTCCTTACCAGTCCTCCAGGGCTCAAATACTGATCAATACTCTAGACTTCACGGAGGCTGGTCAACCTTGGTGCTATAAAGTCATAATTACTGGAGTGACGTCTTAGTGTCTATTTTTGAGTTCTTATGGAATATCTAAACGTCTCTTCCGGCATTCACCAGACAAAGAATGCTGCATTGTGCGTAAGATATTAATGTATATATATGTGTGTATATATATGTGTGTATATATATATACTAACACTCTCGGGGAACATTTTTTGTACTCTTTGTGTATATTGCGGTATACCTGCAGGTAATCTCTTGGTATCTGTTGATGGAATGTCCGACCCCAGCCAAAGAATGCAAAGGGAAAACATGTACTAGGTACATTTATAGGATAACATAAATTGACTCGGTAGTAACTGTGTATCTTATAATAATTATGTGCAATTACAATAAATCAGGATGTTGTGGATGTGTATATATTTCGGTTACTGCTTGATATAATTTTTTGTTTTGGATTTTGGCTTGATGCAGCAGCCAAGATCATATATTCGTGTGACAAAGATGTCTGCAGATAATAGGGCCCAGTTCCAAAAGCTCCAAAAAAATCTGCCTCCGGGAACACGTCGCTGAGTGCTTGTAGGATATACATCTTCAACGTGACCCTATAGACACTCCGGTGTGCCAGTAATATAGACACTATATCTATAGGATCCTCAGCCATTAACTGCCTACGTACAACTGACAAATCCAGAATGTCTATACGATTCTCTGATGACAATAGTTTCCATGGCAACAAGAGGTTCCTGCATTTATCAATCAAGTGTTGTTGTATTTAAGGAAAGCCCGAGTCTGAGGCAGAAATCGTTCAGGGTCATTCGGTACAGACTGGGTCCCTGTGTATTTTGGAACAATCTGTGATTATAGATTATCTATTACCAATGTAGTTGCCACGACTCCTGACATTTGCGTAAGTTATGTCTTCCCGGGAGGCACTTTCAAAGGAAATATCTCATCACGTCAGTGAATTGCAGTCTCGCAGAAACCAGTTAAAAATAGTCTGTTCCAATGAGACGATTAATACAAGAGATATATGTTCAAGTACTCAGTTTCTCGGAACAGTAATTGTTTTACACCAGAACAAATCAGGGCTCTGATCATTAACTTGTGTCTGATGTTGGTCGTCTGTTTCAGTTGTCACAGGAGAGAGAAATGTTAGACATCTTTTGTAAAGTTTTACACCGTCGTAAGATTTAAAATATTGATGCTATTTGTATTACAGCATCAGTTCTAATTTGGAACAGGAAATCATTGTACTTGTGTCATGGGAAAATCAATATGAACTCTCAAGCTGGCTAAACTCGCTGTTAGGAAAACTGAACCCAGTCCATAGGAATTCAAATGAGAACCTAGGTTGTCATTTGAAGACTGGTTGCAGCTAATATCAGTTGACAGTCATGTTATTACCCTACAGTTGATATCAGTAGACAGTCCTGTTGTTACCCTGTAGTTGATATCAGTTGACAGTCATGCTGTTACCCTACAGTTGATATCAGTTGACAGTCATGTTGTTGCCCTACAGCTGATATCAGTTGACAGTCATGTTGCAACCCTGAAGCTGATATCAGTGGACAGTCATGTTGTTACCCTACAGTTGATATCAGTTGACAGTCATGTTGTTACCCTACAGCTGATATCAGTTGACAGTCATGTTGTTACCCTGCATTTGTTATCAGTTGATAGTCATGTTATTATACCCTGCAGTTGATATCAGTTGACATTCATGTTGTTGCCCTGCAGCTGATATCAGTTGACAGTCATGTTATTACCCTACAGCTGATATCAGTTGACAGTCATGTTGTTACCCTACAGCTGATATCAGTTGACAGTCATGTTGTTACCCTACAGCTGATATCAGTTGACAGTCATGTTATTAGCCTGCAGCTGATATCAGTTGACAGTCATGTTATTACCCTACAGTTGATATCAGTTGACAGTCATGTTATTACCCTGCAGCTGATATCAGTTGACAGTCATGTTATTACCCTACAGTTGATATCAGTTGATAGTCATGTTGTTACCCTACAGCTGATATCAGTTGACAGTCATGGTGTTACCCTACAGCTGATATCAGTTGATAGTCATGTTGTTACCCTACTGCTGATATCAGTTGACAGTCATGTTGTTACCCTGCAGCTGATATCTGTTGACAGTCATGTTGTAATCTTGTTGTTTGAAAATGATGTTGAAACCCTGTCAACTGGAATCTCAATTTTGCTGTTGCCATGTCAGCTGAGAGCCATGTTGTAATCATTCCACGTGAGTTCTGTACTGTAATCATGTCAACTGAAAGTTGTCTTCCAACTTTGTCAACTGATCATGATGGTATACTTTAAAAATATCATCTGAATGTCAAACTGTAACTATAATGATAATAATACCAAAAAGTATGCTGTTGTCATGTCACCTGAAGCCTTATAAAAATATCAATTTACTGTCCTGTTGTAACCATTTAGTCAACTGAATATCATGCTGTAACCATTAAAAATTATATGAATTTACATGTAAGTAGTGTCTAAGATTTTATTTCCTTAAGTTTCACAGTGTTTCTGTAAATAGTATGATATTTCTGTTAATATCATGGTACCCCCGGTACTTCTGTAAATGTCACACTTCATTTTATATGATTTTTTTGGCAATTAATGCGTGACATTACAGAGGAATGCACTGTCATATAAAACATATATATAGCTATCAATGAAGAAACATGAAATGTTTTATCAATATTTGATGTTTACCAAGAAATTATACCAAAGAACACCTACCCCATTAACCTGTGTATTTCTCCTTTATAGGGCCCACGCTGTTGACTATAGGACATTCCATTGGTGGCACCTCATCAGTGGCACTCACTGGAACAACTGCCTTTTATCGGAGGAGGGACTTGTAAGATTTCAAATGTCAACCACTGCAGAAAAAGTATTTGTGAAATGTCAGAGGAATGTATTTATCATACAAGACCGAAAAAATGAATTTTTGTGACAATGAGGGAAGAAGAGAGCTTGCATGCTAAGTGTTAATACAAACTTATTAGAGACAAAGACTTGATGCACTCGTGAGGATTGAGGGACTGTGTGTTGCGTGATCGTGTGTTATCGTTTGCTGGAATTTCTAAAGATCAATTGTTGACATCACAGCGAACCCTCATATCTGCACCAGCGTCACAGTTACATGTACAGCCTTCTCGCTGCTTGCCACAATCGTATATCAAATGGGCAGGATTCTCTCGGCCAAAAAAATACTGTCAGTGCCAACAGGGCCAGAGTGATACGGAGACATAGCGACCCTGGGATGATGGTATGATCAATGTTTATCTTGTGTGAGCAACACATCACTCTTTGACAATGGAGGATATTCAGATTTCCATGGATCGAATTCCGTTAGATATCATGTCTTCTGCTGCCCGAAAGAAATACACGGATGCAATTACAAAACAGAACACAATAGCTGAAACAGGTAGGATTCCTCTAATTTGCTGAATATTAAGTACCATATTTGGTGGGATTTTCGTCTTTTTTAAGTAAAATGTGTAATGAATTTTACGAACAAATTTTATTATTTTTCTGCCTTTTATTAGATGTTGAGTTACATACTCATTTGTAAATGTACATTATTCATGATGCTGGTCTTTGTGACAGGAAATATTGGACTGAACAAAGTAATTGTTTTAGAGTATTGAGAAACCTACAATTACATGTTAATTATACTGCTCAGGAGCCTGAGGGCGGTTGTATGCAGTAGATGAATGAATATTCTATAAATATTCATAGACTATACAAACCCAGTGCACTTTGAAGATTAATATCTGAATGAATCCCATTGTGAGAATATGCCATATTACCAGGGATTTGTACATGTATGAAAAAAAGAAGAAAATTACGTGAAGTCATAAAGGAGCTTACAAACCCGTGCACAGTGGTTCATATTGAGTACATTATCTACATTTAGCTGTATCAACATAAAGCTTGGTTAGCTTGAGGGAGTGATAATATATCTTACAAACTTCGAATAACTGAATAAAAATTCAAAACAATTCAGGTTGACTTTGTTAAAAAATTATCTTCATAATTGATTTTGATTGATCAGTAAACTTTTCATAAAACATTGAATGTTCTTTTTGGAAATGTTGTGCTGTTTAAATATCTCCTCAGCTGACAAAGCTTTCATGCACCAATGAGGACAAGGTTTAGCACTGTCTGCTGTTCACTTTATAAGGATTTTAAATCATTAGAAGAAGGAAGACATGAAACACGGGAGTTTTTATGCAATAGTCATTAAAAAAAAATGTTTTAGGAAATTTCAAAGAAGTGTAACCTGCTCAGTGGACATGGCTTAATTACCATATGTTGGGCCTAGGTTTTCTGTCCGTGACAAACCATTTTATATATATCATATGACTTTGTATTGTTGTGTGCAGGCGTTATATAATACGTCATTATATAATACAACCACCAGTCATCAGCGTAATATTGATGTTGTTTAGATAACTATGGTTGGTGTTATTAGTGTGTTTTTTTTGTCTCATATTTAACAGCCAAATTTCTCCTAGCAAAAAATAGCCTAATATTCCCAAAATGAAGAAACAATTAGGAATACCTTCCCAATTTTAATAAGAATAATGCTATATTTTCCCATTTTATGTACAAAAACAGGCTATTGTAAGATTTAGGAAGGAAAAAAATAGTTTATTATACATATACATTTATCATATTAATACCGTGTTATGCAGTGTCATAAAGCCATCACATAAATTATGGTTATGTAACGTGTGAAAAATCACTCCGGAAATGACGTCACAATCGCATAGGAACAATCAATGTGACATCACGTCATTGTGATGCGGACGCAATTTTTATCGTTTCAGAGGCGGCCAATTGCAAAATAATCGTTTCAGATCACAATTATACAGTTTACTTTGTTAAAAAGAATCTGTCATTCGTTTCCCTTCATATAAGATTGATGATACTTGTTTTGGATTTTTCATATTTGCTCTCCAGAGACTCACAAACATACAAATCCAAAACTTGTATCATATATCTGATATGGACAGATCCTCTCTATTGATATAGGCAGTGAATGAAATGAGCATTAGATAAAGTTTTACTTTTTTTTACGATTTGATCTAGAAATTTCTGATGTTTTGGTTCTGTTTGTATGTCCTGTGAGGATAATGTATTGAACCTTTGAAATTACGTAAAAGTGTTGAGCTATTATTACGTAGGATCCGAAGGAATCTGTCCAATCATATTGAAGTATTACTGATGTCCAGTAACTGGTATGAGTCACCGATCAAGATTGATGTGTTGATAGACTGGTTAGGGTTTGTCATGGTTTCACAAAGGAAATCATCAATGTTAGATATTTTGTAATTATGAATTGTTGTTGGACTATGCCTTACTTTGATGATTTCACTTCAGATATCAGGATGTTTGTGATTATTTTCAGCAGAGATGAAGAAAATAGAAAACTAGATGAAGGGGGTTGAAACTAAATCAGACGTTTAATTTTGTGGTCCCTTAAAGATTGATCAAGTCCAAGACTCCATTTTATACATATCACATTTTTGCAGCTAGAGTATACTACTAACTATTAAACTATAAACCATAATTGTGACAGAAATCTATTTCTTGTTAATGTCACTTTTTCCTTCATATGATATTAAAAGTAATTCAGTGGTTTGAAATTAGACCCTTGATATTAAGAGGAATAAACGAGTTCCAAATTACCCATGATATTAAGAGGAATAATGGAGTTCTAAATGACCCTTGATATTAAGTGGAATATGAGGCTTTGAAATGACCCTTGATTGTAAGAGGAATTTAGGATTTTTAAATGACCCTTGATATTAAGAGGAATAATAGTGCTCAAAATGATCCTTGATATTAAGTGGAACATAGTGCTCAAAATGACACTTAATTTAAGAGGAATAAAGGGCTTTCAGACGAACCTTGATATTAAGAGGAACAATGGCTTTGAAATGATACAAAATGTTTTCAAATGATATGAAATTAAGAGTAATATTAAATTATTTGAATTCAAACAGTGAAATGTTTTAAAATGATAACAAGAAAAATAATTTAAATGGTTTGAATTCTGTCAGTGAAATATTTATAATTATATCAGGTCAGTGTGTCATACAAATAAATAGTATGTTTTGGCAGAGTATAAATTATCTTCAGAAGTTGTACTTGGTATAAAAACACACTACTAGCTCAACAGTTGCTCATGAACGTAAACGTTTTAAAACACAAAAGATTTTTTCAAAAGCAGGAATATATATAAACAATTTCGCTTTTACAAAAGGTGCTAACCTTTAGCTACTTAAAGTGTTACTTAAGCCACCTGTATAGATTTAACCTTGAATTATTTTAAGAATTACAAAGAATGTCTTGTTTAAATTCCTTATGTATAATATTAGTACACAATAGCCCAGTGTACAAAAGTAAACCAGTTTAAAAGCTAATAATATGAAAGATTATTTTGTTTAATATGGCAAAGCTTTGTTCACTTTTCAAGACTTAAGTGATAGTTCAAAATTAAAATTTTACAAAAGTTGAACTATGATTATAAATATTTCATTTTTTCTGACAGAGTTATATTGAAACATGTTATATGTGTGTACATTTTGATTGGTGAGTTTTGTTGAAAATCAAAATTTTAAAGGGTCATAGATTTGTTATTGTTGAAGTTGAAGTTGAAATATAGGTCTATTATGGTTAATAACTAGGCTAAAGTATGTGTGAATTTCCTGGTCTGCATAAATAAAACGCAATTGTAGTTAAGCCATAATGTATAGTCTACTTCACATTATTTCACATCTGTTTGAAACGGTTTAATGGTAGTTTGACAAACACTTGTAATTTGTTGGTTTCATGAAAAACAGAAAAATTAGATATCTTTAAGATTTTATGAGAAATGAATATAGCATGAAAATAGTAAGAAAAGAACAGAACATATAAGTATCAAAATTTAAATGTTTAAATATGTTAAGCTAACCATGCTTGCTGAGGCATTATTAGGTGAAAGCTTGCAGTGGTGTTATGATTGTATTAATTCTGCTCATAATGACACTTATATAATATTAATGGATTAATTCACATTTGTTTAGAATAATTAATTGATAATTAATGATGATTTCAAAAGTATCAATAGTGGAAGTTTCTACACCAGTATAATTAACAACTACAACAAATTTTAATCATATGTTTTAAATAGAAATTGTTTAAAATTTAAATATTACTGCCTGTAAATCAATTTAAGATGGTTTAATAAACAGCTTAGTCAACTTCTTTTCTTGGAGACTGATAAAGGTTGACTGGAGTATTTCTACCGTAAATCCCTAAATAAGTTTTTATTACAAACAGAATTGTAAATGGTACGTTAAATCATGATAGAGTATGACTGAAACTATGTGAAAAATGCAGACCTAGCTTAATATACCGTTGCAGGAAATAATAGATGTTTAGGTATCCCATTTATGGACCAATATCAGCAAATATTTCTGTTGTCAGGATTTAAGATTCTGTGTCAAATTCACTGGAATGGCATCTCGATCTTTTGTATAGCACTTTTGAAATTTATTCATTATCTTGTGTGATTGTTAAAGCTTTGGCTGATATTGTTTATGGTCTTGTGAATGTTTGATTGTTAAAAGCTTTAAGATGATATTATTTGGGGTCTTATGAATGTTTGCTTGTTCAAGCTTAAAGATGATATTATTTGGGGTCTTGTGAATGTTTGCTTGTTAAAGCTTTAAGATGATATTATTTAGGGTCGTGTGAATGTTTTAAAGCTAAAGCAAAAAATTAATATAGGATGGTGTGATTTGGGGTCTTGCAAATGTTTGATTGATTAAAGCTTTAGGGCAACATTATTCATGGTCCTGTAAATGTTTGAACTTTCAAATTCTTGTCGATTGGCTTATAAGGATTATATTGGCTTAACCCTTTCACCCCTATGTAACTTTAGTAGACTCTATCATGCATTGATATGGAGGGGTCCATTATGGTCTACAGTGGTGAAAGGGTTAATATGAGGAAGTATTTATTAGGGGGTCGTAACAATTAATGATCGATGTCTTTGGTGTCAATATTATGAATGAGGTATATTATATATTTAGCCAGTGGCGGACGATGACAGTGATTAAAACAAGACATTTGATTGCAGTTTTAAAATATAGAGACATATCGCTTAATGCTACTTCCTAATCAAACCGCAACAAACTGTCATAATACATGCTTGGGTTAATTTAAATTGGTGTCGGAAATAAAAACAATATGTACGTCTGTAGACGAAATTTTGTTATACAGTTGTTAACTTTAGATAACATGGTAGTTTTAATTTGAAAACCTCAAATATATAAGTGGCACCAATATCACCTTGTGTTTTGAGAGATTGAAAAGATTTTGTTTTAAACTTGAGCACACAAATTATATTTGCATTGAACTTGAGCACAC